TCTCTAAGTTAAAACATTAAAAAAAGTGAGCGGTCATTCTCTCCGTCGGAGAGAATGAAGATAGCAAGGTCAAATCAAGATTAACCAGTTAAGATACTTTAAAGTAAATAGTGAAATAAAACAAATGGTAAGAATCACAACATTCCCCTTAGTGGGAAAAAAATTAAAGTATTAAGCGCCATGATACCTAACATGTTATCAAACCCTTTTTCTCCCTCTCGAGAAGTCCGACAAAATGAAAATTTAAATACTGCACGGTATAACAAATGTCATTTTGGTGCTCCGAAGGAATGACTAAATTATAGAGGATAATAAAATTCCTAAATCCGGCGGATTGTAATCCGTAGTTACAGCTAAGTAAGCTCTAATTGCGCTTTAGACGAAATACTAGTACAAATTATAAATGACTAAATGCGAGTTTTAAAGTTTGATTGAGTTTAGCTGTCCCCTTCCATAAATTTTTCCAGCTCGGCGTTGAAAATTTCACTATCTAAGTCGATGTAATTTTCAAAACAGTTCACGGCATCTCTCAGAGAATCGTCGGTAGAGGCGATGGAGAATTGATCAGGAGATTGGGTGTATGCTAGGTCCGGTGTACTGTCTTCCGGTAGTGTGTTGCAAATGTTGGTCTGATTATCCAAGGGATTCTCTCTGAAAGTTTGTGTGAGGGAGCTCGAGTTGTCATCCTCGTCCAGAGATATAGGGTTAATAGCGGAGCCTGGTTGGTTTACTAACTCATCTATAATATCTATGTAATATCGCTTACCATAGAATTTAGGGGGGCCAACATTTCGGCTTGAACCTCTTAAAATAAGTTCGTTACCGGTGGTATTAGTTTCCTTAGGATGTCTTTCCTCGCTGGTTCCAATTTCGTCTGAGGAGTCCTCTATTTCGAAAACTGGGAAATCGACCGGTTTTTCTCCCACCAATGGTTTTGTCCAATCCGAAGGAATGTTTGGCGGCTCCATTGTCGTAGCCGTAGAAGGTTCGTCAGGTGGGTGTGAGGTAGTTTGAGGTGCTGGTTTTATACTAATTGGGCATTCCGCTGTGTCAGAGGGTTGAGATTGTTCGTCTAAAATCTCAGGTTTTATATTAGTTTGATATATTTTAGGGTCTAATGATGAGGTAGGTTCTTTTTTAAAATTGTCGTTATCTGAAATGAAGCGTTTTGTTATCATTTCTCTACATGGAAAACCTCCCGCGATCCATTCCCAATCGCTAATGTCCAACGTATCCGACGGAATAAACATTGATTCGTCACCTGCTAGGTATCCAGTATTCGACGTCGAGGCTTTATTTCGGTTCTTCTTCGATTTGATGGATTTTGAAGGCTGGTTCGTTCCTCTAGATCTGGTGGTGACCGGGGTGAACGACTCTGTTTGTCTTCCTGTCTTAGTGTCTGGTTTCCGCGTCTGTTGTGTCTTCGATTTGTATGACTTTCTTGGACCTACTTGTAAATCATCGTTAGAGAAAAAAGGAAAGGAGATATTTCCTTTGAATGAACGAATTGTAGAAGAATTAGACTTTGGAATGGCGATGTCCGATTTTCTATAAATTTTTCCGTCGGATAATTCAACCGTGGATTTTGTTGAGTTTATTATTTTCTGGCCTAGTTGTTTATAGAAGGGATTTCCGTTTATACTTCTGTTAGTTTTCCGTAGTAATTTACCTTTAAACGGACTGTTTAAGGACACTCGGGATGATTGAGGTTTTGAAGTAGTAGGAAGGTCTGAATCATAGCCTTTCTCCAATGGTGACTGGTTCTTTTTCGGTATGAGGGAGTCTTTGTATTCGTCCTCTACCCGATCGTCAGCGTTCCAGTCGAGGGCCCTTTTTCTGCTTAAGATCGACTTCCCTTTGTCTAAAAATCCACCGGATAAATTATTAGATGCCAATAGCTTCCAGATCGTGTTCGGTTTTCTATTAAAGTGTATTTCGAACGGTGAGCATTTAATTTTAGATTGGAAGGAAGATCGTAGATTCCAAATGATTTTCGAAATGGCGGTTTGTAATGTGGGTTTTTGTTGATCCAGTGACATTACTAATAATTTGATTTTTACAGTATGAACAAGTTTTTCTACAAGACCGTTAGAACGATGGTCCCCAACTGTACAAAATATTAGTTTGATATTAAGAGAGTTGCAAAATAATTTAAAATCCTGACTAGTAAAGCAGGATGCGTGGTCGACCCGAATAGATTTTGGAATCCCATGGAGATAGAAATAATCTTGAAGAAATTCGATTACTGTGTTTGATGACGTTGAAGATGTAATTTTTGCTGAAGGGAATTTTGAAAAACGGTCTATACACAATAAGATGTATTTATTGTTTCCCCAGTTGTTATCTAGTGGGCCGGCAAAATCAAGATTTATTTCCTCATAAGGTGGGAAGTTCACTAATTTGTGAAGTTGGAATAATGCTTTTTATGTTCTTACCGGTTTGCGTGCATTGTGTGCAATTAATCCCCTGGAAGTAAATTTGTCGATATATGTGTGGCCACCAAATGTATTGTGCCAAGTATTTCATGCCGAATTGGCCAGGGTGAGATTCATATAATGTTTTTAAAACGGCGTTTCTAAGTGTAAACGGAATAATTAGTTTTCCATCTATATATAATAGTCCGTCGGATTCATGAAGGTCTTTCGAAAATTGGTGTAGGTAACGGGAATTTGCATTGATGTATCTACTTTTTTCTGTAGGGCTTTAACAATTGGGTTTAATAATTCATCATCCTCCGTTAATAAAGCGACCAATTTTGCATTGAATAATGTATTTAAATCCAAAGGTCTTTCGGGTAACTTGAGATTTTCTCGGAATTTAGTTACTAACTTCTTGTGTTCTGAGGAAATTTGAAAATCGATAGAGACCTGTATCCCGGAAGTGGAAGGATTTACTACAATTTGGTTATGTGACATATTTACACTATTTATAAGTTTGAGATCCGAAGGATTACTAATTAAGCTACTGTTAAGGATTAAAAAATAGATAAAGGCTGAATTTGATAGAATAATTTTAGTAAAATCAGTGTTTGAGAAATCCGAAGGAATACATTTAGAATTACAAAGTTCTGTTCTATAATGTTTTTGATTGCAGATTGAAATGGAAGAGTTGACGAAATTCAATGCTGTGATTATTACGTGATTTCGTAATTTCATGTAATGGGAATTTTCCGAAATCGAATTAATTGAATTACGTAATGGATTTTCATTATCCGAAGGATTGAGTGCACTATATATTTTTTTGGTAGTAGCAACTACAAATTCTTCGTCGTAGTGTGATGAGGGAATTGGTTTACCCGAAGGAGTTCTTGAAATTAAGTCTGTAAAACCCATATCTTTTCCCGCTAAGTGTTTGATAGTAAAATTGAATGGTAGGAGACGATCTACCCATCTTGTCAATCGGCTATGGTATGTTTTGTTTCCGTGGTTTGGTGACAAAGCGGAAAGGAGGGCTTTGTGGTCGGTGATAATTTCAAATTCGGAGCCATAGAGATAATTTTTGTAATGTTCAACCGCCCATACAACTCCTAATAACTCTAATTCGTTTGTTGAATATTTCGATTCGTGCGGATTTAAAAATCTTGAAGCAAATGACACTGTTTTCCAAACTTTCTCATGAAGTTGTTCAAGGGATTATGTTCACCCATTATGTGAAGCATCTGTTTTTACTCTCGTGGGCTTTTTTACGTCGAAATGAGTGTTTTCGGTAAGATTTACTATTTCAGATTTAATCTTGACAAAAGCTTTTGAGTGATCTTCATTCCAAAGGAAAATTGACTTCTTGTTTAAAAGAGGTCTAAGCGGGCTTCCGAGGGATGCTAAATTTGGTACAAATTTAATGTACTGATTAGTTGACCCGAAGAATGATCTTAATTCTTTCAGATTCTTTGGGGTTGGAATATCTTTGATTGCCTTGGTTTTATCGAATAATGGGGCGATTCCGGATTTCGATATTTTAAAACCGAGCCATTCGATTTCTTTTTGGAAAAATTTACACTTCGACCATTTAACTGCGAAATTGTAAGTGTCTAACGTTGATAAAATTTTATAAACAATTTTCTTGTGATCGTTAAAACTTCCTTTGGAAGCGACTAATATATCGTCGAGGTAGCAATTTGTAAAAGGAATGTTTCCCAAAGTTGAGTCCATGACTCTCTGAAACTCGTTTGGCATATCGCCGAGTCCGTAAAAACCCGTTTAAAATTGATAAGTGCCTTTATATCTCCGCTGACTAGACTAAAATTGCATTGGCTGCTAGTAAAATTGTCCAGTGCGAGTTGACTATATGCGTTCTTTAGGTCTAGGTTTGTAAACCATACTTCTCCGGCGGAATTGTCCGAAATTTGAGCCGCCACGTTATCAACTAATTCGTTTATATTAGGCATCTGATATTTGTTTTTGTAGATTTGTTTGTTGATGAATTTTGAATCAAGGGCTAGCTTTATCGATTTGTCTTTTTTACAAGTAATAACTATCGGACTAATAAATCTGTCCTCGTCACAGTTTTCTAATTTTTTGATGTGTCCTTCGGATTTAAGCCTGTATAATTCTGTTTTTACTGAGTCTAGTAAGTGTAAAGGGACCCTCCTGCCTTTTAGTTGAATTGGCTTTAATGGTTCATGAAAATGTGTTATTTTTGTTTGATTCTTTATTTTTCCAATCCGAAGGAATAGTTGTTTGAAGGTTTTTCCAATCATTTCTATTTCATTATCTATGTCAAGTGAAGTAACTGAATTGATAAACTTACAAGTTCTCTTGTTGGTGAGTGTTGCGTATTGTTTTTGTGAAACTTCGATTCCGACTTTTGGTAAATTGTCGTTTCCCAAGATGTTTCTTTTATGACCTTGAGTTAGAAAGAAGTGGCATTCCTTGTGGGACCATCCATTTGAGAAAATTGGGACAATTACTTTTCCAGTGATATTTATTGCATTGTTCGTAAATCCACAATAGAGTTCCTTGGTAGCTTTATCCACTGGATATATTTTCACGTAGGGGTCTCGTAGTCTCAACTCGTGTAACACATTCTGTTTAAGGAAGCTTACAGGGCTTGCTGAATCCACCTGTATGTTCAAAATTACGTCGTTTTCATTTCCTAAGCCGATATTTAGTAGTTTCTTCATCTCCTTTCCTTGATCATCGTAGATAGTTGTTACGTTTAATACTGAGTAATCATCGTTATCGCTTTGTCCAGACTCTGACCATGCGTTTATTACTCCACAGCATTCTCTATTAGCGTGGTCAATATGTACATCTGGTTGTTCCGAAGGATAATGATGATCCGTATTATTTACAATTTGGCTATCCACAATATTTACATTTTTACGGCGTGATTTACAAAGTCTAGTAAAATGTCCTCGATATTTACAAGTCGTACTTGTTGTATCTTTAGCAGGGCAAACCGCTAGATGTCCTTTTGTAAATTTTCCGCCGCATTTCATACATGTGTTGTTTCTTTTGATGTTTAGGGTGGGTTCTCTTTTTACATTAAAATGATTAAAAGATTTGTTGGAAGAATATCCGCTGGATTTAAAAGTACTCGTAATCTTTATGTGGTTTGTAATTCCTTTTTCATCAATCAGGGCTACGCTTAAGGCTTCTAGTGGCGGTAAGGTTTCCGTGAGAAGTTTCCGTTGGATATTTGAATTCTTCATGTTATTAATAAAAATATCTCTAATCCATTCGTCTTCTCCTGTGGGAATGTTACATCGTTTTGTCATTTCAGCCAGTGCCCCCCAGAATTGTTCTAATGATTCTCTGTCCCTCTGTTTTCTGTTTAAGAGTTTGTGTCTTTCGAAGGTTATGTTTGTTTTTCTCACAAAAGCTGTGGACAAATTGTCCCAAAATTCTTTGAAAGAAATTTGTAGAACTTTGACTCTTGTGAACTTCTGGCCGAATATTTTCTTTCCTTCGTTTCCGAGGGCTAGATAAAGTATGGATCTTAGTTTTTTGTCCGCCTCTACCAGTCTCATACCGTTGAATTTCTTGGTTTCTAACTTTATTGAGGCCATTTCTTCATCATCGAATCTCTTTTGTTCTTGGATATTCCTCTCGATGCGTGATGTTTTTTGGGCGTCGGATTCGTTTTCCGGCGGATTTTCCAATGTTGGCGGAGGTGGGTGATATCGTTCCGTTGGATTCAAGAGATTTTCGATGTCGATATTCTCTTTCGCGATTATCGCTAGCTCGAATAGATCGCTCCACTCTTCCCAAGGAATTGGTGGGTCCACTGTGTGGTTCTGCCAAAATGAAGGTATACCTCTCACGTTTGATTCGTTGCTGTTTGACTGCGCCATGATAAAATGTTCCTTTGTTACGGTTAATTCTACTTAGTTACAAATAAGATATGTTTAAAAAGTGAATTAATCTCTAAGTTAAAACATTAAAAAGTGAGCGGTCATTTTCTCCGTCGGAGAGAATGAAGATAGCAAGGTCAAATCAAGATTAACCAGTTAAGATACTTTAAAGTAATTAGTGAAATAAAACAAATGGTAAGAATCACAACAGTAGTGATGGAATCCACAATTATATCCACAATTTACAAGGTGAGCTCTTGCAAGATAGCTATAGCTTAGTTAACTTTAAACAATTAACTTTCGGATTAAGCCTCTGCCTGGTTAACTAAAAAAAACTAGAAGGGATTGAATTTGGGACCACAACAATTCAAATTGAGATTATCAAAACGCATTTTTTCTGATATTACAGCGTGAGCGTCAAATTATATCATTCCAAATTCAAAGGACGCAAAAAATTTGCTGTTTTTATTACGTTATTAGACGCAAAATAAAAACTATTGTACCTTACATAGCGTGTGAGGTGATAAAATTAAGAAATAAAATTGACAAAAAAAGCAAAATTTGTTAACTTTCAGGACTTCTTTTTTTTGCATCAAATGGATTGCATATTCTATGCTACTTGCACAGTAACGGATTTTCTTTGTTTCAGATTTATAAATAATCACTACAGCGCAGAACGTGTGCAGATGCAAATCCTAAACTCGCTGATGCAAATCATAAAAAATTGGAGTGGGGATTGAACTTAGAATTTACTTGCTTCCAAGCGGTTGTGCTACGCGTTATTTTAAATTCGATTCAACTGCGCGCTTAAAATTATGAAGAATTTATCTTTGATGCTGAAAGGTAACGGAAAATTTTACCAATTATATAACATTTCCTTAGCAAGAATCAATTTTTAATATATCGTTAGTAACATTAACAGTCTTTTTTAGTTTATCAGAAAAGCTTACCAAAATTTTTTGAAAACCAACTAAATTTGAACATTCAGAACTTTGTCTTGATTTACGTGCAGTCTTGTTTTATTTTTTTACATTTTCTCCGGAAATTTTTTATACAAAGGAATCAGTAAAATGCCGAAAAACAGAAAAACAGGTCTTGCATACAAGCGAAAAGCAGCTCTTGCATGAAAGTTGTTTTTTTAAGACCCTAATTTTTTTGCTCTGACAAATAGTGTCTAAGCTTATAAGCAATACAGGTTTTCACAATTTTAAGAGTTTGTTGAATTTGTGATTTAAAAGTTAGACTTTTTCGATAAAAATTCCAAATTAATTACAGCAAACAGGCTATTTAGCTGCTTTTAAGGTTTTCATTTCATTCATTAATCGCTTTGGCATCCAAGTACTACTTTTTTTAGTCGTATTGCGCTGAGTTTGGCTGTTTATCATTTTGTCAGTTTTTAGTGTCACTTGCAAACAAAACATTTTTTTTTCTTTTTGTTGCCAGAGAAAATCACAAAGTGTGAAGAAACCGCGTGCTAGATATAATGTTCTTTCTCAAATTCAAATATCCCCCCTAATCAAGTTGTCAAATGAGATTTAATTTGAGGACATTTTGATCTTGATTTTGATTCCAAAAAGTTCAGAGTCAAGAAAAACTATTCTGAAAACTTTGCAGTCAGACAAAATTAGATGAATTTTGGTAAAACTCAGACCTCCTGAATTTCACGTTTACTACAGTTTGAACAATATTAAACAGTTATTTGTTTGAATTTTACGTTTTTTTTATCTATTGCACTCGATTTTTTTTAATTAAAAAGATAATATGAAACTTAGATCAAAATAATTGAAAAAAAAAATTGTAACATATTTTTTGGACGTTTTATTTTTTTTTATTTATCTTTGGACTATTTTGGCTGGTAAATTTTGTGCTGATTTTTTGTGATAAATAATGGAGGGACTAGGACAGAAGAAAAAATTTACTCTTTCCCAGCTTGACCAAAAACGCTAATCATACACTTTTCATTTATGGAAAAATACGAATCAAGCACTTTTCATGAAATTCCATCAGTGCACAAAGTCTCATGAAATTATATGATTAGTTGTTTTTCATATATGGAAAAAGTATCACTAAAATTTTCCCCTATGCCAAGTTTTTTTAAATTGTTTTTTCAAGTTAATTCTTTTAAAAAATTTTTTTGTTGTATTCCTAACCGAACACAAGTGACCAAAACCTTGGTTTATTCAAAACTAGATTCACCAGAAGTTTGCCTGTCTTGCATTTACAGTGCAATGAAATTGACCTGATTGTCTCAGAGTGGTCTTACGCATATCGTATAATGAAAGTATAAAATTTTTAATTTTTGGTATAAGTTTTCAAAGATGATTATTTTTAAAAATTGAATTTTTAAGGAATTAGGCATAAACTTGCCATACAAAAGAAATAGACGTTTTCAGACTTAGTTCATGAAGGCATTTTTCATTGACTTAGTATATGGAATTCTATCATTAGCACTTTCGGTTTATGGAGGTCACTAGGTTTTATTCGGCTAGGTTTTGCTAGGTTTGCTAGTTTTGCTAGGTTGCTAGGTTTTTTTCATCTTTTATAACTTTTTTCATCCTGCTATCTGTCAGCGAAACTACTTTGCATCCTATTGAGCGATCAAGGTGAAATGACCAGAATCAACTATTTTTGTACTTGTTTTTGAAGGGAAAAACTCAGGACAAAAAATACTAACTACCAACAAAGTAAAGCAACAAGTGAGAAGACTATAATTTTGTATATTCGTTCTTTTTTTCGTGAACAAACTATCAGAACACACAAAATGCTACTAACTGGGTCATCTGGAGCTAGAGTAGGTCTCTCTAATGCCATGGCACAGCAGTTGGCCAGAATGAAAACTAAGATAGTGTAGTCGAACCAGTTGTAGCCAATTATGCGCTGCATCTGTCTCCGAAACCTGCAATATGACAATGAAATCAGATAAAACTGACTTCAAAACTGATAACAGAACAAAATATACAGGCATCAAAAACAGAGTGTTTTTATTTTGTGGTCGATTTTGTATCGATTGTCCCTTAATATTTTATCAGCGGCCCAAAACAAAGATGGCTGGAAATATCAGACTCATACACATCTGGGCTGAGAGGCTGATTACTCACCTATTTTCTGGTGCGAATGCGTAGAGCGAGTACTGTTCCCTCTCCTGGAAGCAGGGATGCAATCGAGACAACTTGTACGTAACTGTCTTCATCCTCTGAAACAGGTGACTGAGATGTGAAATTGCTGACCAATTGGTTGAAAAAATGTTTGGAAACTATTTCAAAAATGAAAAAATGAGCTAATTTAAAAAAAGCAATTATTTTTAGAGCAGTGAGAATTATATTTTATCATTACTTTTAAATAAGTTTGTATACTGAAAATTTAATAAAGAAATTTGAAATTCAGTCTTGGATAACAGTAACCAGAGAGCCAGAAACCGTTTTCATTTGGGTTCTCTCCAAATGAGCGACCAGCTCCGGAGGAGCCACCAACATCGGCTGGATCCCGTCCGAGACATTCTTGGATTCTCCGGTGGAACTCGAAGTCTTGCTACCTCTAAAATGACCTCCTCCGCCGACCAACCCGCCCTCTCCTCTCGGGGAGAAAGAGGCGCGTCGGGTATCCACCAGATTTAGTGGGTTTCCGTCCCTGGCGAGGGGGAGAGAGGGGGGCACTGAGGAGCAGGTGGATGATGCGTATGATATGGTGCTGGGACGCGGTATGCTCATCGATTTAATCTGTTGCTTCATTGCAAACGAAAGACGCCTGGAAAAAGCAATAAAATATGATTTTTTTTAAAATTTCAATGTCAGAGCTCGCAATATGATAGGTTTTTGCGAAAAAGGCATGCTATTAACTCATTCATACTTTCTCTTTTTTCTATAATGAATAATATGTTTTTGTTTTTTGAGCGTGACTAATTGTGTAAATTATTGTTTTTTTCCTGCAATAATTGTTAAGTTTTTTTCACTTTTCAACGGCTGGTGGCAATTTGTATGTGATCTGATATGACGAGTTGGAGTTGCTGTTGTTGTTGTTGTGGCTCTCCAAGTGGTAGTCGTATAGTAGTCTGCACAAGTTAGAGTTGGTCGTCTGCGAAACCATCGAGCTCTTCCTGCAGTTCCTGTTGTTGCTAATTGAAACAGATGTTTTTCTATTTGCCGGCTTTGAATTGTTGTTGTTTGGAGGACCTGAAAAAAATTAAATGTTCAGTTTTGATATTCGATATTCAAAAAATGTTTTTAATCAATTTCGATATTCGATTGAATCACCGCGGAAAAGGCTTTGGATTGATTTAGATTGATTTTAAATTGATTCAAATTGATTAAGAACGTACACTTTCCAAAATGAAGTGAATTTTAAATCAATTTAAATCAATATTTTCCAAATATTTTGGACCGATTCAAGTGTCTAAAAAATTCATCCGAATCTTACCTCTAATTTCATCCGAATCTTACTAAAATTCATTTAAACCCATCATTTAAAAAACCTTGATCAATTTTGCCTAAAAATACATTTTTAAATTTTATCCTTTTTTCAAATAAGAACACACATACCAGATAAAAAGAAATCTTGACAAAGTCAACTAACATGTCAACTAACATGTAAAACAGCTTTTGGGCAAAAATCTATGTAACAAATCAAAAACAAGCAATGAAAACATATAAAACCATTAATGTAAATCTGTTATTCGGCGAAAACCTATGTAACAAATAAAGAAACAGTTTTCATAAAAATCAGTTTTTGGTCTCAAAAACAGTCCATGGAATCAGAGAATTTCATCAACGTAAATCAACTTTTGGACAAAAACGTATATTATAAATTAGGAAAATGTTGTCTCACAAATCAGACTTTGAGCTCAAGTTAAGGCAATCAAGTCATAGAAAATCATCAATGTGTATCAAATTTTGGGCAAAACGTATGCAACAAAAAAAGGGCCATGTAGATCCAATTTTCTAGCTCAAAATCTGCAAGGTATAGAGTGTTACTGATAATTTAAAAACTATTAGTTTTTTTATGCTACCATACGCTATAGATGTAAAACGAAAATTGATGGGCAATGAATAAATGCAACACAAACTCAAAACTGATGAAATAAATTCGATTGATGACTCAAAATTGATGAAATTGATGGATTGACTTGAATCCGTTTAATCCCCCTAACATAAAAAAAAACAAATTAAGACAACAAAATGGATTTAAGTTCGATTTGGATCGGTTTTTACCTGAAATTTAAGACCAATTTAAATTAATTTTAAATTAACTTTCTTTTTAAATCTTTGTACTTTTTTCATGCTAAAATCGATCTCAACTGAGTCTAGAACTTTTTCCCAACTAAAATTGATCCTAATCCATTTTTGTCAGTGCGTGCAGGTATGTCACTCGACCCCATTTGATTTTACTTGTGGTACCCGTTTTTTGGGGTACAATATTTTGATCACAATTTTAAAAGAGAATGGCCGGTTGCTATTGAAATAAACTAAGAAAGAAACAAGGATAACCGCTTGATGTTTTTATGTTGCGGCGTCGGTTTTTGTTGTGATGAGACAATATCGAAAAAAGCCTAGAACTTGCATAGTAAATTGGCGATTTGGACAACAATTTTCCTCAAAAATTAAACTAAAAACAAATGTTTTGCAAATTAAAATTAGAAACCAAATTATTATACCGTATTTTCTGAGACTGAAAAAGTTTACTGTAATGTTCTGATTTTCGATCGAATAACCACTGATAGGATTTAAATCTATATATATTTCCAGCCCATTTGACTTTTGTTTGTCGTACCTATTTTGCCAGGAAAAAAAGTAAACGAGAAATAAAAATCTGAATGCAAACTTTTTTCGCGCTTCGCGATCGGAAGAAAAAGTTTTGAAGTTGTAAAGCAAATCAAACAATAGGTACATTAGTAGAATACTCAAGTCAGTAGCCAGTAACGCTCTTCAAAATTAGCTTTTTGATTCATCTAGGCACTTTTTATCACACATCACGTGATTATTTTTTGGCCATATTTCTGTGTAATTCATATTAGCTCGAATAAGAACATTTGAAGATTATTTTCAAAAACATGAAACTCACGAGTGTAAGTGTTCTCGTAGTCAGCCGAGTATGGTCTGCACATGACTGTGACCCGAGGGGATGATCCGCGACGCTCCTCGGGCACTGACAGCCAGGACCTTCCCTCTGACATACACGATGTCTTGCATGGCGTAGATTCATAGTCAGTATTCTGAAAGACCAAACCAATTCCGCTTATACAAATTCTGCTTTTATATTGAACCGACCTTCAATCAATTACTTACTTTAATATTCGAATAATCTGTGTATTTTATTTAATAAGGCAATCCTTTAAAATCCAAAAGTAAATTTTTGTGGCTTCATGATGTGGCTTTGTCAATCTTGTATGAACATTTCTACAGATATTGATACTTTCTTTTATGATTCAATATTCTATGGTGACTTGGAAAAATTCAATGCGAGTAGTAGGTATATTTGATTTTACATTTGATTTTTTCAATATTAAGGTTTTATCGATATAGATGTGTAAAATTTATAGGTTATTTCAACACACATACCAAATGTACACAGAAGGCGTCCAAGTCTGTGTCCAGATCGGACATAACTGACTGGAACAAGCTGGGAGGGGTGGCCGCAGTCTGGATGATGGTAGGCGGAACCAGAGTCGCACTCGGCTGCTGATGATACTACACAAACTGAGTTTGAGCCGTGCCATGTTTTATTAATCAATATTGAAAAGACTATGAGAGTTGCTAGAAAAAGTTCAAAAAGATGTCTAAGAAAACATTATGCAGTACCTCGAGAGAAGCCACATCTTGCAGAGTCTTGCATGCTCCTAGGGAAGATTGCGAGGTCTGTGCCGTCGGCGAGGAGCCAAAATTGTTCCTACTGTGACTAGTTAGTTGAAGCTGCTGGTTTTCGTTTAATGACAGGTGAGCTGGGGAACTTCTTTTGGACACCGGAAGCAATTGCGGATTTTGGTTACCTAAAAAAAACGTTGTTCCACATCCCTCCATTGCTACTGCTATCATAGTAAGTATTCGTATTGAGCAGGCCTCCGTGATTAGGGGCACAGCAAAGTATTAATGAGTTATAATGTTCCATCGACTACAGGAATAGCTTGCTAAATTTCTTCCGAAGATAGAAATTATGGGAGGAGCTTCGATTGAATCTTTACCTAAATGGTACCTTTGGTATTTTTATCCGTTTTTGTTACATTTTTGATCTACACCTCATCAGAAGAGAACTTTTCTTGAACTCAATCGAAGCAACTACTAACAAAAAACAAACCATAGCTCCCTTATGCAGTAATTTTCAAGCATTTAGATTTCAAGCAAACAATATTGAATCTAAAAAAAAGTAACTACAAACTTTTTTCTGCCTCCTCGAACTCTTCTTTGGTCACTGGTTCCTCTAGTTTCCCTCCCACACAAGAACTAGCTCTTGATTTCTTCTCGTCCTGAAAGATATTTCAGATACCACTCTTTGAATAATTAAAACAAAATGGAGTTTCTAATTGAGCAGGAAACAACACTCAACAGCCAACAATCATCAGAAAACATACATGTAACATATGCACCTAACATTGAACAGGGCTAGCAAAAGTAACATAAACAATTAGGAATTTTTTAAGTGGCAACTTGATTGCTGGTTTTCGGCGTGACTCTCAATCTTCCGACAGCCCTGTAAATTTTTATCGCGTAATTTTTGATATGCCGAAAAAAAAATGTTTCAAAATACTTGAAACCGTCAAATGATATCCATTTTTGGACGCAAATTAAGAATTTAGTAAGAAGGTTTTAAAAGAAAGAAGGTTTTAAAAGAAAGAAGGTTTAAGTCGGAAAAAGTCGACTCATGGGTCAAACGGGGTCACATCATGAGTCGAACAGATTTAAAACTAAAACTTTTTTCTTTCAAATTGGGTTATTTTAGGACAAAAATGATTAGGACAAAATTGTTTGGAATTTAGCCACAAAATTCATGGTGCAACTTTAAAAAAGAAATTCGGGCCTGAAATTTTGCCTTCAAAGCGGGTCACTTTGTTTGGTTCAGGAAAAAAAGGGTCGTTTATGTTGTTTGTCCTGATCATCTTATGTCAGGCCAAAACGCAGCAATTTTTGAACAAATTGCTGGCAAATACGAGAGCAAAAAATATTACAGGTTAATAAAATGAATCATCAGAATTCTCAATTTTTTGCTGCTTTTTGCAAAAAATGCCTTCGGTGGCTTAACTATTGGTGGAATGACAAATGATTCATAAATAACGTGTTTTTAAAATACCGTACTTCTGAAAAAACAGTAGTCAGAATATTCAGAGTGTTGAGTTGATACGACCAAGTTTTTTGCTCCAGTGCGAAATTGATCCTTAAAAAAGTAATACCCCATCATAAATTTTCTGTTACTTTTTCAAACGTAAGAACAAAAAAAGTTTTTGTTATTTGAAATTTCAAAGCTTTTCTGATTCTTGAATGCATATGACAAACCACTGGCGCAGTTGTGTTTGAGGCCTACATTATGCTGTTGTGTACGCGTTTTATTCTATATTTTTGGGCTGAATTAATCAATTTACCGAAGATAGACGAAAAGGATAGCAATACTCAAACACATCGCGCTAAAATAGATCAATTAATTTGATTAAAAATGAAAGTACACTAAATAAGAATTCGTTAAGGTTCGTGTAAGGAATAAAGGAAAATTATATTGATGAACATCAAAAAAGCGCTGAATAACAAATGAGTGAAATGCATAGTGCATGCAAAAGGGGTGAAAACTGTGCAAGTTGTGAAATAATAATTCTAAAACTACCTGCAAATTTAACCAGACCAGACCCCCTCTCTCAAACAGTCAAGCTAGTCTTAGAAAAAAGGAGAGGGCCAAGAATCAGGTAGAGGATATTCAATGTTATTAGTAATTCACTGTTTTTTATAAATATTGATATGACATTTAAATGAATATATGAACTAGAAACACACTAAGATCAAGATGCACATGAATGATATGCAGAAAAATACGGCTATTTTAAAGTCAAATTATTGTTTTTTTTTTTCAAAAAACTGTCAATTTCTATATTTCATTTCGTAAACTTTATTGATTTAACTTTAGATTATAAATTTTGTTGTCTGAAACGTCTTTTTATATCCAGCGAAAGTTGAGGCGAAATATCTAGTCTGCCACTAATCAAATCTTCGAAAACATTATAAAAAAAGAGCCAGATGACTATGAGTCGCATCTTCATCAACTTAAAACAAAAATTGAAACCAAATATATAGAACTGATCAAACAATCTGCACTCTTTTCAATGACAGCTCACAAAACTCCAAAACAAGCCAACTTCTGATTTTTGAGCCCACTTCACGCCGATAACAACTTTTTTCGCAACCTACCCCAAAAAACCGAGATTTCTTGGTCTCTATGCCTTCGCATTTTGTATGTGAAACCTTTTTTGATTCACACTTTGGTTCCAAAAACGAAATCTGACGGTTAATGACATCCGATCTTCGTTGCAATATGTGGGTACCGCTCGACTTCTTTCGGAAATCCGAGGAGTGCATAAGTTGATCGGCCTCTTTAGCCGTCATATAAATCGGATTAGTCGGTATTTTCCGCTCCGGGCTGGAATCGAACTCCTTCTCTAAGGCACTTTGTGTGATGAGAAAGGTTCTCGCTTTTCTAGACCTCATGCGACTAGCATCCTGACAAATTATAACCAGTTAGTTAATTATTTATTTGTTCATATTGCAAGCCACGTTATCCACGATGCATAGTGCATATGATTATATGGTGATTTTTCAATCGATCAGATCAAAATAGATGGAATTACAAGACCTTGAAGTCCAAATTTTTAAGTTCGTTTTTGATGTCTGCTTCGGGCTGAAAAAAGTGTCTGTTCGCTTTTCCAAAATATGTACAAAGAAAATAATAAGTTTGCAAATACTCACGCAAAAAATAATTGAGAAAGTGGTGCATACCCTTTTTGTACATATTTTTTTAAACACATTAAACAGTAACTAGAATTGGTAATATATTTTGATAGTAGATGAAGAAGCAAGTTGCAAGCAACACCAAACTGAGTTGACCAAATTTGACCTGTGCGATCAATGCAAAGTAAAAATGTAAGAAACAGACACTGAAACATCAGTACTCAAGAATCTCATCATTAGTAATCATTTCAGTCCGAATTCCAAATAATTCTTGATTGTCCGGCAAATTCTAAGTGAAGTAATAAATATACTAAAAAGAAGATGTTTTTGTTTTACTCGCAAACCAGAAAAAGAAAAGAACCAACTCAATGTGAATGTCAATCAACCTTAAAAATCAGCTCAATCTGCTGAACTGGAGTGGTTTTAAAGAGCTCTCAGTAACCTTTGCTCTACTTTAAATCAGTCAGTCGAACGTATCAAGTTTCCTTGAAAATCAACTGAAAAACCATAGAGATGATTCAATATATTAACTAACTTTATTGTATTTGATTCCTTCGCACGTATATCCGCCCATATATATCAAGTATATATTCGCAACTATTTGGTTAATAAAAAACCATAACTTTTAGCAAATTTTATTCAACTACCTAATCATGAGACTGTTAAGACCATTTATCCTCGAAGGAAAGGACCAACATACGAGATATATAGCTCATCACGGCGAACCGCTGTTGTGCCCCTGCTTAACTACTACATGCAATTTTTTTGGTTATTTTTTGTGTCTGCGTAATTTTGAGCAACGGATCACCCTCGAGCAACGGATCATGGTGGGCCTCGAACGTCCGACCTTTCGATAGAGAGGCAGAGACGTAACCACTTCACCACCGCTCCCTAACGAGACTGTATTCTGGAAAATCAGAGCCCAAAGCTTGTGTAACGCTAGGTCATTTGATATAACTTTCTCTTTTCTTAGACTTATAGAATTGATTTTATTTGGCAAAACACTTGTTTTTTTTCAATTCACTGCCGTGTTTTTTTGTGCTTCAGCTTTAAGGTGGTACCATTTTGAAGCGCAATTTGTTTGGGTGATATTTATTAAAAATCCCTCAAACAGGCTTTTATTTCATTGTTTCACTTTTTTGGGGTTGCTCGAAAGTGAATTGATTTTTTTCTAGTTTTTACCATCCTTTTAAATAGATAAATCAGTCCTTATATGTTGAAAAAATCGAAAAATATATTTTTTTCGCATTGAAGACCTCAATAACATAAATTTTAATGAGTGAGTGCTTGAATAGCAAAAACTTGCCATCTGTTCTCGACACTGAGACTACTTCTAAGATTTTTTTTGGAAAACAAATCACGTCGGAAAAGGTTTGAACATGATACCACAACTCGAAAGCCTACAAGCAATCTTTCGAACATCTGATGTTGCATTAAAAATAAGACACCTTGGAGTGAAATATATTTTTTTTTGTGTGTGAAGTGTTTTTTTCACAATTAAAAGTCCTCAATATTGGACGCCAAGTCGAGTGTAGTGTGTAGTGGTAGCAATACTAACACTTCTGAATCACGATTTGAAATACTTGATGTCTCGACAAGCTCTCGAGTTAATGATTGCTTGAAAAATGATTTAAGTGAATTAATGGTGTTGATTTTTGTCGTGATTGCCCATAAAACTTCCAATTCTTGTTTTTTCCCGGCAAATCAAGTGTCACACAGACATGTTGCATGAGTTTGAGAACTAAGTGAAACTGAGGCTCTTTTAATTGTGATTTAAACTACAAAACAAAGAAAAATTTTTTCTCTGGGTTTCAAGAAAAAAGTTTGGATCAACTCGGGGATTCATTCATGCTCCCCGAAGTGTTCTAACGTCAAATCCTCTGTCCTAGCATGTATTGTTTTTGAAAACTAGCGCTGAATAAGATATAAATTTTATACAAACACGCAAAATAAGAATACTTTGAGTTTTTGTCGAAATTTATAACTTTTGGCGAGCTACAAAGTCAGTTAAATTTATGTTGCAATTATGTTTCGATAATTAAATTTGTTCATTAAGCGTTATAATTTTGCTAATTTTTTTTAACTTTCAATTTTCTCCCCTGTACATCGATTATTTCGGGGGAAGGGATTGTAAGGTTGGCTAGAGTGTTTGGTTTTTTGGCATTTCAGACTGCTGTAGTTTGCCTAAAATTATATAACGTTTTGAAACTTACGAACGAAAAGGCCGGAAGGTTATTTTAAACTTTTACTCAGTGAGCTATCGTTAACTTGTTTTTGTAGTTAATAATAACCGCTCACAAAAAAAAACAAGACAGCTCGCATCAAGGCGAAGCCTTTGATGTTTCGACTATGCAATGTTCGTTTTGAAAAGACGGATAATTTTCTTTCAAAAATCATCCCCCCATTACGCTATGTACAGTACAGTTCTATATTCTTACATAGCAAGCTTTAAATAATATGATTAGCATGCTTCAGTGCAATTTGGAACAATTTTAAGGACGGATTAAATCTTCGCGTATGCGTTATTAGTCAAAAATAT